ATGCTATGATGTGCACTCGCCCCAATCTCCTTTCATTGGCCTTGGTCGCCACACTGACGTGCACTGGGCGTGTTCTCCGCTACCTCCTCGCTATCTCTGAACTTGCACTCACTCTTGGTGGCTCTTCTCCCCCCGTTCTTTCCGGTTACAGTGATTCCTCCTACGTTGATTCTCGCCCTGTTTGCTGCTCCTCTCAGGGTTATGGTTTCACTCTTGGCAGTGGCCTTGTCAGCTGGCGCTCCACACGTTCATCCTCTGCCTGTCTTTCCACCTACGAGGCTGAATTGTACGCAGGCACATTGGCGGCCCAGGAGGCTCGCTGGCTCTCGTTTCTCCTTGCTGAACTTGGTCAGTCTCAGCCCTCTGTAACGCTCTCCTGTGACAGTGCGAGCATGATTCACTGAAAATCCTGACTATCACGCTCGCGGCAAACACATTGAGGTCCGCTGCTTCTTCGTGCACGAGCTGGTGCAGTATGGCTTCTTACGTCTTTGCAAGGTGGACGCTACTGCCAACCTTGTTGATACTTTCACCAAGGCCCTCCTCCGTGCGCCGCACCGTTTCTACGTGCGCGAGCTTGGGCTCACGCGTCTCTCTACTTCTGGGGGTGCGCCAGTTCGCTAGGTGTTTTGCTCTAGAGCTTCACCTAGCCTGGGGGTGTGTTGGAGTGGGCTAGAGCTCGCTCTGGCATTTATCGTGGTGTTCCTTTGTTAATTCGCCATGTTTAGGGCGAGTTACACTTCTGGTTTAGTTTAGGTTCATTTCTTAGTTTCTAGTACAAACTGAACACACCCTAAGTTCAATTAGGGTTTCCTACTTTTGTCTCTCGACACTTTTTCCTAATATATGTATTCAACCTATCTTGCTAGCCATGGCTACCACTCTCACATTAACATGGAGACACAAGTCTCAACCTCAGCTGCAGCTCCCATGTACCGGTGTGTGTATTGGTCAGGTCCGATAGGACCCCGCGGTGGAGACTGCCACAGGCACTGCTGCTGTTGCTGCGGCCACGGCTGCTGCCGCGGCTACGGCTGTTGCGGCCACGGCTGCTGACGCAGCTACGGCTGTCGCGGCCACTGCTGCTGCTGAGGCCACTGCTGTCGGTGCGGCCACCGGTGCTGTTGCCACTGTTGCTACGCCCACTACTGCTGCTGCCGCTGTCACCGCATCAACATGGCACGGGCAGCCTAGGAACGGGGCGCGCGCGACTGGGTGTGCGCGGCTGCATATGTGCGATTGCGTGGGCGCGGCTGTGTGAGCGCGCGGCCGAGTGCGCGGCCGAGTGCGCGGCCTGTGTGCGCGTAGTAGCGTGCGTGCAGGTGCGTGCGCAGGGCTGCGTGCTCTCTCGCTCCACGGGGAGCGCACGGGCAGGAACTATGGGCGATGGGTGACAGGCAACGGGCGACGGGTGACGGGAGCTAGGGTTAGGATCGACGGGAAGGGCCCGCGGGGGGGACGCGCTACAGGACAAATGAAGGGGGGTGCGCGTTACAGGACGGATGAAGGGCCCGCGGGGGCACCGTGTTATGGGGCGGACGAAGGGCCCGCAGGGGCGCCGCATTACGGGACGACCTAAGACCCGCGGGGGCCACACTACGGGACGACCTAAGGCCCACGGAGGCCACACTATGGGACGACCTAAGGCCCGCGGGGTAGGGGCGCACTACGGGCGGACGAAGGACCCGTGGGGGCCACGCTAAGGACGAATGGAAGCGCCTGTTGGGGGGGCATGCCACGGGACAGACTAAGGCCCGTGGGGGCCGTGATACGGGACGATCTCAGGCCCGTGACGGGACCTGCCGAGTGCGCTACGGGCAACGGGCGACGAATGGGCGGCGAACGGACGGCGGACGAGTGGCTAACGTGCGGCTACCGAGCGGCTAGCATGTGAAACCCTAAAACGAGCGAGCCAACGGGCGGCGAGCGTGCTACGGGCGGCTATTGAGCAACGAACAGGGCGTGCGGAGGTGGGCTTATGGGAACGAACTAAGCTCTATACCATGTCAAAGTAGTAACTGAAGAATGAATGACTAGAATGAGCAATTACAAGGGTAGATATAGCAAACCTAACCCTGGCAATAACCAAGGTGTACAACACCTAGACTAAACAATACAAACTATAACAATTATAGTTTGACAATTTTCTCCGAGGTGAGTTTGGAAGGCGGCCATACAAACAGGCCCCTGTCCTTTGTACAATGTGCCACTCTGCTCCTTATAGGTAACCATTCCCTCACCTTCGTCTGGTCTAGTCTGGTTCCAACAAAATACGCTTAGAAGTGTACACTTGGGCAGGGTGGCACTCCTTGCTTGCATTGAACATGTTTACCATATTCACCCATTTCAGAAAGAGTGCTAATGTTACTAGATCGCCCAGTCTAGCGTCACCCAGGCAGCTCTATGTCCAAGACTTGACATGGTTCTTGTAACTGAAGCCACACTCGCACTCCATAGTGCTAAGTGGGAGCACAGCTATAGCCTGCCACAGCTGTACCAGGTTCGCATTTGCTACCGCGAAGTCAGATGACTGGAGCATGCGCAAGAGCGATTTTTGGAAGTTCAGGTTGCTGTGGTTGGTATCCATCGTATGCATAAACAATGGCAGCTCCCTCTCACACGCCTTGAAGCACACACCTGGCATGAGAGTAGGGAGAGGGGGGGTCGCGGGGTGGGGGAGGTGTGTAGTAGTACAACAATCCGGTACACACACATACTCACAAACAAAGATAACATCTCATGCACGAGCAGGTGGTGTACCATAGAGGCGGTGGTGGAACATGTGGTCTAGCATCCCCAACCACTCGCGGCACTTCTTCATTCACTGCGCGGTAATGTCAACATGTGGCACGGGTTTGCACAAAGGAATGCAGAAAGAAATTTGTGTAGGGTGGTTAAATCGATGGCAATAAGGGCATACATGAACACCCGCGACGACATGAGACATTACCTGGTGCTTCTGGAACTTGGCATTGAGGTCATTGAGCATGCCAAGGATGTGTACAAGAAAATAGAGCATGATATGGAATTTGAAAGAGGTCACGACTTCATAGAGCTCGTGCTTGATATCGTGCAGCAGCACAATTGTCACTGGCTAAACCTTGGCAAACCGCTTCACTCCCCCCCCCTCTGGAGAGCCATTGCACGACGTGGATATCTGCAGCTCCAGGTAGGTGTTGCAGATGTACTCCTGGAGGTGCTGAAAAAACTGGTGTCTGACGCTGCTTCTTGACAGTTCTTCCACCACATTCCGCACCGCCTGGTTAAAGACGTTGAACTCCGGCACCTTCAGTGTGGCATCACACTTGGCCAACGCCTCTTTGATCAAACACAAAACACAAATAGTACAACATGTAGTTAGTAGGTAGTACATGAACAAACAGGCCGCACGTAGCTAAGAAACAACACAAAGGCACATACCGTGTGGTACAGTGGCACAATACGAGATAGGGTTCCGCGCCCAGAATCGTGCAACAATGCCATTGCTGGTGCCCGTCATGACTCTGGCTCCATCGTTGCAGGAGGTGCAAATATGAGGGGGTATGGTGGGGAGGGAGGAAGGGACCAAGCAGGACTCTCCTACACGATGCACACCTCAGTGGCGCTGTGCGTCATCGCCAGGCAGGCAAAATGCAGGTGAGCCAGGTACAGTTGGCGGGACTGTGGCAGTAGCGACGCAAGCCATCTTGGCGACGCGCCACTCTGGTGACTCACAAATCACGTCAGTACCCCCACTCCCCTCCCCCCCCCCCCCCCCCCCCCCCCCTCCCTCCCTTCTCGAAATCGCATCAAGGTGGTACCCGACAACTTTTTTGTCATCAGGGCGAGTACACAGGCCTGCCTGAAAATCAGTGTCACAAAAAAAAAAAAAAAAAAAAAAAAAAAAAAAACCATTTTTTGTTTGAAGGGCACCCCATAAAACGACTGTAAAAAAAAGGGTGAACACAGAGACCCTCCCTTTTACCGGTAGCAACGGCCCCGGTATCTAGAGGCCGGATCGAGAGACATCTTGTCGTTGCTCAAACAAGAAAATTGGATAGCTAGTACCATGGTGGATAGCTAATACAATTTACGATAGCAAATACAATTTATGATTGCTGGTACGTGTACTAGCACTTACAATTTCTAGCTTGATCTGCATGTTGTAAATGGCCAGTTGAAATAAGAACGATGACAAATGACAAGTATAAGAAAGCGCTTTCTAATACACCCCTGTCAACAATTCGCCACTATACTATTCAGGCGATGACGGTATTAAATCTAGGGTATGCTGCGGTTGTGTATCACATACTTTTACCATTGTCCAATCGTCGTCTCTTCCAGTCCCTCTCTCGTCCGTTCTCAGCCTGCCCCTCAAACCCAGAAGGCAATGCCTCCCCTTCATGCAGCCCTTCCGCACCTTCATGTGACTTTGCCTGCTGGCTGCCAGCATACCTCTGCCCATTGTAACGGGAATGGCCACCCCGGTAAGCATGCCCATGCGCATGCGCATGCCCATGCCCATGCCCATGCCCATACCCATGCCCATGCCCATGGCCCTGCCGGTGCCCACCTCTGCGTGTGCCCTCATGGCGGTTTGGCCATGCACTCCTCTCCTCCCCCACCTCCTCACCCCTCCGCCCATCTGAAAGCCCCTGAACCCCACTACTCCCCGTGCCCTGCTCCCACCTGTCACCCGCCGCGCCACTGTTGCCACCAGCAGCCCCTCCGCCCTCCTCCCCTCTCCTGCCTCCAGAACCAGAATTATTTCGAGAAGGAGCGACGCGGCGAGGAGAATGGCGGCGGGGGGGATGTCGTCGGGGAGGGGAGGAACGGTGGGGGCCTGTGGAGGCGAGGGAGGGGAGGAGGGTGGGCGCGAAGGAGTCGGAGGAGAGGAAGCATCCGCGTTGCTTCGCATCGTCAATGAGCGCCGCCCACGCCGGTGAGCGCTGCAGCGACACTGCGTTGCCAAGAATCTGCACAGCACACGGCGCGGTGGGAAGGGCGCAGGGCAGTGAGAGCTAGGCAGGATAAGAGGCAGCAGCAGGGAGAGCGGGATGGTGCCTGACTGTGGCACAGAGGTACATGAAGAATGGCAGGCGTGGCTCATTGAGAGGTGGGCTGACCCAGAGAGAGCGCTTGGCGCGCGTGATGGCGACGTTCATGCGGCGCACGTCCGCCACGAAGCCCAGTCCGCGCGTGGAGGCGCGCACGCAGGAGAGGATGATGGCATCGCGCTCCTGCCCCTGGAAGGCATCCACCGTGTTCACGTACAGCGCCGCCCCGCCCGCTGCCACCGCTGCCACTGACACCCGTGGGGCTGCGGCAGCAGCAGGCGCACAAGGGGGTGGTGGTGCGGCGAGGAGGGCGGGATGCCACTCCTGCCTCGCAGCACTGCCTGGGTCTGGCCCTCCCTGCCCCTGCTGCTGCTGCTGCTGCTGCTTGTGCTGCTGCACTTGGATGACAGCAACATTCCCTGCCGCTTGCACCGCAGCAGTGGCAGGGGCGGCAAGCAGCGGCAGTGGGGGCGGGGGGGCGGAGCGGGCGAGGTGGTCGAAGGAGCGGCGCAGCAGCTTGAGCTGCTGGCGGTAGGGCGTCACCACCCCCACCGGCACCGGTCCCGTGGCACCCGCTGCTGCACTCACCTCCTGCAGCCGCTGCCAGGGGTTTAGGGCGGATGGGTGGGTGGGAGGCCAGTGAGGAGCATCCAAACAATGGCTCATTTGAGATGTGTGAAACCTGTGTACTTGCAGTGGCAGGCAGAGGTGCGACAGGAGCCCTGGGCGCAGAAGGAGGCGTGGGCGCACCTGGAAGAGAGCGACAGCAAGTGCGGCCTCGGTGGTGTTCTGGTACGACACCGACCGCTCGCCGTGCGACTCGCGGCCCGCGCTGACGTCAAAGAAGAGCAGCGGGCGCAGCAGCGCGTCGGCGTGGTATGGCTCGTCGGGCAGCGCGGTGACGGCGGGCGCGTCGGTGAGGCGGTCGGAGTAGAAGTAGCGGCTGGGGAAGGCGCGGATGGCCGGGTGCATGCGGTACTGCTCCGTCAGCAGTAGTGTTGGACAGCCCGCCCTCTGGAAGCGCTCCAGCAGTGAGCGACTGGGGGGCGGAAGGGGGAGCATGGGCGGGCATGGGCAGGCATGGGCGGGCGTGGGGAGGCATGGGGACAGTGAAAGCGATGGTGAAATACACAATAGGTGAACAAACAACCAATTGAGAAGGTGAAGCAATTGGAGTGTTGAGCATGCATGACATGCCATCTTTTGCAGCACCTGTGGCGCAGCGAGAACGACCCACCTGTAGTCCAGCGAGGAGGCGAGGCGGCTGATGACGGTGGCGGGCAGCTGCTGGGGGTCGCCCACGAGCACACAGCGCTGGCAGCGCAGCGTGAGAGGGGGTAGGGCCGCCATCTCACTGGCCTGCGCCGCCTCGTCAAACACACACATGTCAAACCCGTGCGCCAACCGGGCGAATATACTGCTCCCAGGGGCGTGAGGGGGGCGGGGGTGGAGGGGGTGAGAAAGAGGGTCGTCGCTTCCCCGCCGTCGTCGCATCAGTTTGAAGCCATGCCAAACCCCAAATGAAGCCAAAGCCGACCTCTCCGCCATGGCTCTTCCTTCGAGAAGAACAATGTCTAAGCTAACAGTGTCGGTCTCAGGTTCAAGAACCATATTCGGGGTCTACGCTTTGAGAGCTTCTTTTCGACACCAAAATTATGTTCATACCGAGAACATCTGGTCGTCGTTGCTACTCAAGCAAGATCCTTCATACCAATCGACGAGCTGCTCACTTTCATGTCATTGCTCTGCCTGTTCCAAGAGAGTCACATCGGTTGCAGCGCGACATCCAGGATGGCGATTAAAAACAGGTGCAACCCGAAGTTGGAAGTTCAAGTATATGGAGATTACTCAGCGGAATATTTTCAGGCTATCATCCTTTTCAGAACTTCAACAGCAAGCAAAAGCTGATGAGAAACATCACAAGGTTCATCGAGCAAGCATTACAGATCGCCTCAAGTCACAAGGACATATGGCAGGGGTATTTCAAGAGATACCTTTTTTAAAAATGGCTTCCAAAACTTCAGAAGTTCAAGATGTTTCTTACCTGGACGACAAAAAGACAATGGAAGGCGACTGTCGGAAGTACAAGGAGATTACTGGGCAAGATATTTTCAGGTTCTCTTCCTTCTCTGCAGTTCAACGGCAACTAAAGCATGAGCAGCTTCACAAGGCTTGTCGAGAAAGCTCCAAGTCACAAAATGGTTTTCTACCTGGACGACAAGAAGGCAAACGAAGGAGCTTCACCAACAAGTCGACTGGTTGCAAGAGACGTGAAACCGCAACCACGCGAATCAGAAACAGATTCGAAGAACACAGGATCTAAGTCGCCTACATGCCCAGAAGTCACGCTTCATTCTAACATAGCTCATGAATCTGAAGACTACGAGCTTTTCATTGCTGGAATTTTTTAAGACGACGGTTGGTTTTTTACCGAGGAGAAAGATGACGAAGCTGGGAAGTTTCCTACGTTTCAAGAAGTCTACCTTCAATTTGAAGATAGAGACGAATGCCCTTCAGCAAGCAGGCGCCATGAAACTGAAGTTACATTTCTCTCACCTGTGCTGGTGAGCTTGCCTTCACGAGGGTAACCTCCCCGTGTGCCTCACACGCATTGCATGTTCAACTGAGCCCCGCGGCCTCCCTTGGCCAACTATGTTTCTCGCTCTTTTTCTCTGCTGCTAAACAATTGGGTTCTGTGTACATTACTGTAACCTACACTGAGCACTCTTCTTCTGTTGAAGCCCCGTCTTATGACTACTTCTGTGCGACAAGAAGGAAGAACTGCTGATTTTCAAGGCACCTGCAGAGGCGCAGGGGGACGAGGCTCACCGGCGGCCGCTACTACTGGCGGTGGTGAAGACCACCTCCGCCTCCTCCGCAAAGCTCGCCTCCAGCTGTGCTCTCGCTGCCTCCACTGCCACCTCGCCCCGCCGCGCCCCCAGCACGATGAGCAGCCGCCCCACCTCCACGCCCACCTGCTCCCTCTCCTCCACCGCTGCCTGGTGGCATGGTCACCGCGGCATGGCGCGCACATGAGGAGGCATATGTTGGTGAGATGGGCGTCGGGAGGAAGTTGGAGAAAGTAAAGAAAAATATCATTAGAAACTTAACAGAAGAGAGAGCCCTCTTTGCCGGTTGAAGCAAGGGGGTTGTGAAGGAAGCGATACTCTTGCGCACACTCAAGCACATCCTTCCATGGGGACACATGTCATGGCCGAGAGGACAGCAGAGCATTCTGGAGACAAGCACTCACTGCCAATCGCTGCACTCACTGCCAATCGCTGCACTCATGGCCAATCGCTGCACTCACCGCCAATCGCTGCACTCACCGCCAATCGCTGCACTCACCGCCAATCGCTGCACTCACCGCCAGTCGCTGCACTCACCGCCAGTCGCTGCACTCACCGCCAGTCGCTGCACTCACTGCCAGTCGCTGCACTCAATGCCAATCGCTGCACTCACCGCCAATCGCTGCACTCACTGCCAGTCGCTGCACTCACTGCCAGTCGCTGCACTCACTGCCACTTGCTGCACTCACTGCCAGTCGCTGCACTCACCGCCAATCGCTGCACTCACCGCCAATCGCTGCACTCATCGCCAATCGCTGCACTCACCGCCAATCGCTGCACTCACCGCCAATCGCTGCACTCACCGCGAGTCGCTGCACTCACTGCCAGTCACTGCACTCACTGCCAGTCGCTGCACTCACCGCCAATCGCTGCACTCACCGCCAGTCGCTGCACTCACCGCCAGTCGCTGCACTCACTGCCAATCACTGCACTCAACGCCAGTCGCTGCACTCACCGCGAGTCGCTGCACTCACTGCCAGTCGCTGCACTCACTCCCAATCGCCGCACTCACTGCCAGTCGTTGCACTCACTGCCAGTCGCTGCACTCACCGCCAGTCGCTGCACTCACCGCCAGTCGCTGCACTCACTGCCAGACGCTGCACTCACCGCCAGTCGCTGCACTCACCACGAGTCGCTGCACTCACTGCCAGTCGCTGCACTCACTCCCAGTCGCTGCACTCACTGCCAGTCGTTGCACTCACTGCCAGTCGCTGCACTCACCGCCAGTCGCTGCACTCACAGCCAGTCGCTGCACTCACCGCCAGTCGCTGCACTCACCGCCAGTCGCTGCACTCACCGCCAGTCGCTGCACTCACTGCCAGTCGCTGCACTCAATGCCAATCGCTGCACTCACCGCCAATCGCTGCACTCACTGCCAGTCGCTGCACTCACTGCCAGTCGCTGCACTCACTGCCACTTGCTGCACTCACTGCCAGTCGCTGCACTCACCGCCAATCGCTGCACTCACCGCCAATCGCTGCACTCATCGCCAATCGCTGCACTCACCGCCAATCGCTGCACTCACCGCCAATCGCTGCACTCACCGCCAATCGCTGCACTCACCGCCAATCGCTGCACTCACCGCTAGTCGCTGCACTCACCGCCAGTCGCTGCACTCACCGCCAGTCGCTGCACTCACCGCCAGTCGCTGCACTCACCGCCAGTCGCTGCACTCACCGCCAGTCGCTGCACTCACCGCCAATCGCTGCACTCACCGCCAATCGCTGCACTCACCGCCAATCGCTGCACTCACCGCCAATCGCTGCACTCACCGCCAATCGCTGCACTCACCGCCAGTCGCTGCACTCACCGCCAGTCGCTGCACTCACCGCCAGTCGCTGCACTCACCGCCAGTCGCTGCACTCACCGCCAATCGCTGCACTCACCGCCAATCGCTGCACTCACCGCCAATCGCTGCACTCACCGCCAATCGCTGCACTCACCGCCAATCGCTGCACTCACCGCCAGTCGCTGCACTCACCGCCAGTCGCTGCACTCACCGCCAGTCGCTGCACTCACCGCCAGTCGCTGCACTCACCGCCAATCGCTGCACTCACCGCCAGTCGCTGCACTCACTGCCAGTCGCTGCACTCAATGCCTATCGCTGCACTCACCGCCAATCGCTGCACTCACTGCCAGTCGCTGCACTCACTGCCAGTCGCTGCACTCACTGCCAATCGCTGCACTCACTGCCAGTCGCTGCACTCACCGCCAGTCGCTGCACTCACTGCCAATCGCTGCACTCACCGCCAATCGCTGCACTCACCGCCAATCGCTGCACTCACCGCCAATCGATGCACTCACCGACAATCGCTGCACTCACCGCCAATCGCTGCACTCACCGCCAGTCGCTGCACTCACTGCCAGTCGCTGCACTCAATGCCTATCGCTGCACTCACCGCCAATCGCTGCACTCACTGCCAGTCGCTGCACTCACTGCCAGTCGCTGCACTCACTGCCAATCGCTGCACTCACTGCCAGTCGCTGCACTCACCGCCAGTCGCTGCACTCACTGCCAATCGCTGCACTCACCGCCAATCGCTGCACTCACCGCCAATCGCTGCACTCACCGCCAATCGCTGCACTCACGGCCAATCGCTTCACTCACCGCCAATCGCTGCACTCACCGCTAGTCTCTGCACTCACCGCCAGTCGCTGCACTCACTGCCAGTCGCTGCACTCACTGCCAGTCGTTGCACTCACCGCCAATCGCTGCACTCACCGCCAATCGATGCACTCACCGACAATCGCTGCACTCACCGCCAATCGCTGCACTCACCGCCAGTCGCTGCACTCACCGCCAGTCGCTGCACTCACCGCCAGTCGCTGCACTCACTGTCAATCGCAGCACTCACTGCCAGTCGCTGCACTCACTGCCAGTCGCTGCACTCACTGCCAATCGCTGCACTCACTGCCAGTCGCTGCACTCACCGCCAGTCGCTGCACTCACCGCCAGTCGCTGCACTCACCGCCAATCGCTGCACTCACCGCCAATCGCTGCACTCACCGCCAATCGCTGCACTCACCGCCAATCGCTGCACTCACCGCCAGTCGCTGCACTCACCGCCAGTCGCTGCACTCACCGCCAGTCGCTGCACTCACCGCCAGTCGCTGCACTCACCGCCAATCACTGCACTCACCGCCAATCGCTGCACTCACCGCCAATCGCTGCACTCACCGCCAATCGCTGCACTCACCGCCAGTCGCTGCACTCACCGCCAGTCGCTGCACTCACCGCCAGTCGCTGCACTCACCGCCAGTCGCAGCACTCACTGGCAGTCGCTGCACTCACTGCCAGTCGCTGCACTCACTGCCAGTCGCTGCACTCACCGCCAGTCGCTGCACTCACCGCCAGTCGCTGCACTCACTGCCAGTCGCTGCACTCAATGCCTATCGCTGCACTCACCGCCAATCGCTGCACTCACTGCCAGTCGCTGCACTCACTGCCAGTCGCTGCACTCACCGCGAGTCGCTGCACTCACTGCCTGTCGCTGCACTCACTCCCAATCGCTGCACTCACTGCCAGTCGTTGCACTCACTGCCAGTCGCTGCACTCACCGCCAGTCGCTGCACTCACCGCCAGTCGCTGCACTCACCGCCAATCGCTGCACTCACCGCCAGTCGCTGCACTCACTGCCAGTCGCTGCACTCAATGCCTATCGCTGCACTCACCGCCAATCGCTGCACTCACTGCCAGTCGCTGCACTCACTGCCAGTCGCTGCACTCACTGCCAATCGCTGCACTCACTGCCAGTCGCTGCACTCACCGCCAGTCGCTGCACTCACCGCCAATCGCTGCACTCACCACCAATCGCTGCACTCACTGCCAATCGCTGCACTCACTGCCAATCGCTGCACTCACCGCCAATCGCTGCACTCACCGCCAGTCGCTGCACTCACCGCCAGACGCTGCACTCACTGCCAGTCGCTGCACTCACTGCCAGTCGTTGCACTCACTGCCAGTCGCTGCACTCACCGCCAATCGATGCACTCACCGCCAATCGCTGCACTCACTGCCAGTCGCTGCACTCACCGCCAGTCGCTGCACTCACCGCCAGTCGCTGCACTCACCGCCAGTCGCTGCACTCACCGCCAGTCGCTGCACTCACCGCCAGTCGCTGCACTCAATGCCTATCGCTGCACTCACCGCCAATCGCTGCACTCACTGCCAGTCGCTGCACTCACTGCCAGTCGCTGCACTCACTGCCAATCGCTGCACTCACTGCCAGTCGCTGCACTCACCGCCAGTCGCTGCACTCACCGCCAATCGCTGCACTCACCGCCAATCGCTGCACTCACCGCCAATCGCTGCACTCACTGCCAATCGCTGCACTCACCGCCAATCGCTGCACTCACCGCCAGCCGCTGCACTCACTGCCAGTCGCTGCACTCACTGCCAGTCATTGCACTCACTGCCAGTCGCTGCACTCACCGCCAATCAATGTACTCACCGCCAATCGCTGCACTCACCTCCAGTCGCTGCACTCACCGCCAGTCGCTGCACTCACCGCCAGTCGCTGCACTCACCGCCAGTCGCTGCACTCACCGCCAGTCGCTGCACTCACTGCCAGTCGCTGCACTCACTGCCAATCGCTGCACTCACTGCCAGTCGCTGCACTCACCGCCAGTCGCTGCACTCACCGCCAGTCGCTGCACTCACCGCCAGTCGCTGCACTCACCGCCAATCGCTGCACTCACCGCCAATCGCTGCACTCACCGCCAATCGCTGCACTCACCGCCAGTCGCTGCACTCACCGCCAGTCGCTGCACTCACTGCCAATCACTGCACTCAACGCCAGTCGCTGCACTCACCGCGAGTCGCTGCACTCACTGCCAGTCGCTGCACTCACTCCCAATCGCCGCACTCACTGCCAGTCGTTGCACTCACTGCCAGTCGCTGCACTCACCGCCAGTCGCTGCACTCACCGCCAGTCGCTGCACTCACTGCCAGACGCTGCACTCACCGCCAGTCGCTGCACTCACCACGAGTCGCTGCACTCACTGCCAGTCGCTGCACTCACTCCCAGTCGCTGCACTCACTGCCAGTCGTTGCACTCACTGCCAGTCGCTGCACTCACCGCCAGTCGCTGCACTCACAGCCAGTCGCTGCACTCACCGCCAGTCGCTGCACTCACCGCCAGTCGCTGCACTCACCGCCAGTCGCTGCACTCACTGCCAGTCGCTGCACTCAATGCCAATCGCTGCACTCACCGCCAATCGCTGCACTCACTGCCAGTCGCTGCACTCACTGCCAGTCGCTGCACTCACTGCCACTTGCTGCACTCACTGCCAGTCGCTGCACTCACCGCCAATCGCTGCACTCACCGCCAATCGCTGCACTCATCGCCAATCGCTGCACTCACCGCCAATCGCTGCACTCACCGCCAATCGCTGCACTCACCGCCAATCGCTGCACTCACCGCCAATCGCTGCACTCACCGCTAGTCGCTGCACTCACCGCCAGTCGCTGCACTCACCGCCAGTCGCTGCACTCACCGCCAGTCGCTGCACTCACCGCCAGTCGCTGCACTCACCGCCAGTCGCTGCACTCACCGCCAATCGCTGCACTCACCGCCAATCGCTGCACTCACCGCCAATCGCTGCACTCACCGCCAATCGCTGCACTCACCGCCAATCGCTGCACTCACCGCCAGTCGCTGCACTCACCGCCAGTCGCTGCACTCACCGCCAGTCGCTGCACTCACCGCCAGTCGCTGCACTCACCGCCAATCGCTGCACTCACCGCCAATCGCTGCACTCACCGCCAATCGCTGCACTCACCGCCAATCGCTGCACTCACCGCCAATCGCTGCACTCACCGCCAATCGCTGCACTCACCGCCAGTCGCTGCACTCACCGCCAGTCGCTGCACTCACCGCCAGTCGCTGCACTCACCGCCAGTCGCTGCACTCACCGCCAATCGCTGCACTCACCGCCAGTCGCTGCACTCACTGCCAGTCGCTGCACTCAATGCCTATCGCTGCACTCACCGCCAATCGCTGCACTCACTGCCAGTCGCTGCACTCACTGCCAGTCGCTGCACTCACTGCCAATCGCTGCACTCACTGCCAGTCGCTGCACTCACCGCCAGTCGCTGCACTCACTGCCAATCGCTGCACTCACCGCCAATCGCTGCACTCACCGCCAATCGCTGCACTCACCGCCAATCGATGCACTCACCGACAATCGCTGCACTCACCGCCAATCGCTGCACTCACCGCCAGTCGCTGCACTCACTGCCAGTCGCTGCACTCAATGCCTATCGCTGCACTCACCGCCAATCGCTGCACTCACTGCCAGTCGCTGCACTCACTGCCAGTCGCTGCACTCACTGCCAATCGCTGCACTCACTGCCAGTCGCTGCACTCACCGCCAGTCGCTGCACTCACTGCCAATCGCTGCACTCACCGCCAATCGCTGCACTCACCGCCAATCGCTGCACTCACCGCCAATCGCTGCACTCACGGCCAATCGCTTCACTCACCGCCAATCGCTGCACTCACCGCTAGTCTCTGCACTCACCGCCAGTCGCTGCACTCACTGCCAGTCGCTGCACTCACTGCCAGTCGTTGCACTCACCGCCAATCGCTGCACTCACCGCCAATCGATGCACTCACCGACAATCGCTGCACTCACCGCCAATCGCTGCACTCACCGCCAGTCGCTGCACTCACCGCCAGTCGCTGCACTCACCGCCAGTCGCTGCACTCACTGTCAATCGCAGCACTCACTGCCAGTCGCTGCACTCACTGCCAGTCGCTGCACTCACTGCCAATCGCTGCACTCACTGCCAGTCGCTGCACTCACCGCCAGTCGCTGCACTCACCGCCAGTCGCTGCACTCACCGCCAATCGCTGCACTCACCGCCAATCGCTGCACTCACCGCCAATCGCTGCACTCACCGCCAATCGCTGCACTCACCGCCAGTCGCTGCACTCACCGCCAGTCGCTGCACTCACCGCCAGTCGCTGCACTCACCGCCAGTCGCTGCACTCACCGCCAATCACTGCACTCACCGCCAATCGCTGCACTCACCGCCAATCGCTGCACTCACCGCCAATCGCTGCACTCACCGCCAGTCGCTGCACTCACCGCCAGTCGCTGCACTCACCGCCAGTCGCTGCACTCACCGCCAGTCGCAGCACTCACTGGCAGTCGCTGCACTCACTGCCAGTCGCTGCACTCACTGCCAGTCGCTGCACTCACCGCCAGTCGCTGCACTCACCGCCAGTCGCTGCACTCACTGCCAGTCGCTGCACTCAATGCCTATCGCTGCACTCACCGCCAATCGCTGCACTCACTGCCAGTCGCTGCACTCACTGCCAGTCGCTGCACTCACCGCGAGTCGCTGCACTCACTGCCTGTCGCTGCACTCACTCCCAATCGCTGCACTCACTGCCAGTCGTTGCACTCACTGCCAGTCGCTGCACTCACCGCCAGTCGCTGCACTCACCGCCAGTCGCTGCACTCACCGCCAATCGCTGCACTCACCGCCAGTCGCTGCACTCACTGCCAGTCGCTGCACTCAATGCCTATCGCTGCACTCACCGCCAATCGCTGCACTCACTGCCAGTCGCTGCACTCACTGCCAGTCGCTGCACTCACTGCCAATCGCTGCACTCACTGCCAGTCGCTGCACTCACCGCCAGTCGCTGCACTCACCGCCAATCGCTGCACTCACCACCAATCGCTGCACTCACTGCCAATCGCTGCACTCACTGCCAATCGCTGCACTCACCGCCAATCGCTGCACTCACCGCCAGTCGCTGCACTCACCGCCAGACGCTGCACTCACTGCCAGTCGCTGCACTCACTGCCAGTCGTTGCACTCACTGCCAGTCGCTGCACTCACCGCCAATCGATGCACTCACCGCCAATCGCTGCACTCACTGCCAGTCGCTGCACTCACCGCCAGTCGCTGCACTCACCGCCAGTCGCTGCACTCACCGCCAGTCGCTGCACTCACCGCCAGTCGCTGCACTCACCGCCAGTCGCTGCACTCAATGCCTATCGCTGCACTCACCGCCAATCGCTGCACTCACTGCCAGTCGCTGCACTCACTGCCAGTCGCTGCACTCACTGCCAATCGCTGCACTCACTGCCAGTCGCTGCACTCACCGCCAGTCGCTGCACTCACCGCCAATCGCTGCACTCACCGCCAATCGCTGCACTCACCGCCAATCGCTGCACTCACTGCCAATCGCTGCACTCACCGCCAATCGCTGCACTCACCGCCAGCCGCTGCACTCACTGCCAGTCGCTGCACTCACTGCCAGTCATTGCACTCACTGCCAGTCGCTGCACTCACCGCCAATCAATGTACTCACCGCCAATCGCTGCACTCACCTCCAGTCGCTGCACTCACCGCCAGTCGCTGCACTCACCGCCAGTCGCTGCACTCACCGCCAGTCGCTGCACTCACCGCCAGTCGCTGCACTCACTGCCAGTCGCTGCACTCACTGCCAATCGCTGCACTCACTGCCAGTCGCTGCACTCACCGCCAGTCGCTGCACTCACCGCCAGTCGCTGCACTCACCGCCAGTCGCTGCACTCACCGCCAATCGCTGCACTCACCGCCAATCGCTGCACTCACCGCCAATCGCTGCACTCACCGCCAGTCGCTGCACTCACCGCCAGTCGCTGCACTCACCGCCAGTCGCTGCACTCACCGCCAGTCGCTGCACTCACCGCCAGTCGCTGCTCTCACCGCCAGTCGCTGCACTCACCGCCAGTCGCTGCACTCACCGCCAGTCGCTGCACTCACTGCCAGTCGTTGCACTCACTGCCAGTCGCTGCACTCACCGCCAGTCGCTGCACTCACCGCCAATCGCTGCACTCACCGCCAGTCGCTGCACTCACTGCCAGTCGCTGCACTCAATGCCTATCGCTGCACTCACCGCCAATCGCTGCACTCACTGCCAGTCGTTGCACTCACTGCCAGTCGCTGCACTCACCGCCAGTCGCTGCACTCACCGCCAGTCGCTGCACTCACCGCCAATCGCTGCACTCACCGTCAGTCGCTGCACTCACCGCCAATCGCTGCACTCACCGCCAATCGCTGCACTCACGGCCAATCGCTTCACTCACCGCCAATCGCTGCACTCACCGCTAGTCTCTGCACTCACCGCCAGTCGCTGCACTCACTGCCAGTCGCTGCACTCACTGCCAGTCGTTGCACTCACCGCCAATCGCTGCACTCACCGCCAATCGATGCACTCACCGACAATCGCTGCACTCACCGCCAATCGCTGCACTCACCGCCAGTCGCTGCACTCACCGCCAGTCGCTGCACTCACCGCCAGTCGCTGCACTCACCGCCAGTCGCTGCACTCACTGCCAATCGCTGCACTCACTGCCAGTCGCTGCACTCACTGCCAATCGCTGCACTCACTGCCAGTCGCTGCACTCACCGCCAGTCGCTGCACTCACCGCCAGTCGCTGCACTCACTGCCAGTCGCTGCACTCAATGCCTATCGCTGCACTCACCGCCAATCGATGCACTCACCGCCAATCGCTGCACTCACCGCCAGTCGCTGCACTCACCGCCAGTCGCTGCACTCACCGCCAGTCGCTGCACTCACCGCCAGTCGCTGCACTCACCGCCAATCGCTGCACTCACCGCCAATCGCTGCACTCACCGCCAATCGCTGCACTCACCGCCAGTCGTTGCACTCACCGCCAGTCGTTGCACTCACCGCCAGTCGCTGCACTCACCGCCAGTCGCTGCACTCACCGCCAGTCGCTGCACTCACCGCCAATCGCTGCACTCACCGCCAATCGCTGCACTCACCGCCAATCGCTGCACTCACCGCCAATCGCTGCACTCACCGCCAATCGCTGCACTCACCGCCAGTCGCTGCACTCACCGCCAGTCGCTGCACTCACCGCCAGTCGCTGCACTCACCGCCAGTCGCTGCACTCACTGCCAATCGCTGCACTCACTGCCAGTCGCTGCACTCACTGCCAATCGCTGCACTCACTGCCAGTCGCTGCACTCACCGCCAGTCCGTGCACTCACCGCCAGTCGCTGCACTCACTGCCAGTCGCTGCACTCAATGCCTATCGCTGCACTCACCGCCAATCGATGCACTCACCGCCAATCGCTGCACTCACCGCCAGTCGCTGCACTCACCGCCAGTCGCTGCACTCACCGCCAGTCGCTGCACTCACCGCCAATCGCTGCAATCACCGCCAATCGCTGCACTCACCGCCAATCGCTGCACTCACCGCCAATCGCTGCACTCACCGCCAGTCGTTGCACTCACTGCCAGTCGCTGCACTCACCGCCAGTCGCTGCACTCACCGCCAGTCCCTGCACTCACCGCCAATCGCTGCACTCACCGCCAATCGCTGCACTCACCGCCAATCGCTGCACTCACCGCCAATCGCTGCACTCACCGCCAATCGCTGCACTCACCGCCAATCGCTGCACTCACCGCCAGTCGCTGCACTCACCGCGAGTCGCTGCACTCACTGCCAGTCGCTGCACTCACTCCCAATCGCTGCACTCACTGCCAGTCGTTGCACTCACTGCCAGTCGCTGCACTCACCGCCAGTCGCTGCACTCACCGCCAGTCGTTGCACTCACCGCCAGTCGCTGCACTCACCGCCAGTCGCTGCACTCACCGCCAGTCGCTGCACTCACTGCCAGTCGTTGCACTCACTGCCAGTCGCTGCACTCACCGCCAGTCGCTGCACTCACCGCCAGTCGCTGCACTCACCGCCAATCGCTGCACTCACCGCCAGTCGCTGCACTCACTGCCAGTCGCTGCACTCACTGCCAGTCGCTGCACTCACCGCGAGTCGCTGCACTCACTGCCTGTCGCTGCACTCACTCCCAATCGCTGCACTCACTGCCAGTCGTTGCACTCACTGCCAGTCGCTGCACTCACCGCCAGTCGCTGCACTCACCGCCAGTCGCTGCACTCACCGCCAATCGCTGCACTCACCGCCAGTCGCTGCACTCACTGCCAGTCGCTGCACTCAATGCCTATCGCTGCACTCACCGCCAATCGCTGCACTCACTGCCAGTCGCTGCACTCACTGCCAGTCACTGCACTCACTGCCAATCGCTGCACTCACTGCCAGTCGCTGCACTCACCGCCAGTCGCTGCACTCACCGCCAATCGCTGCACTCACCGCCAATCGCTGCACTCAACGCCAATCGCTGCACTCACTGCCAATCGCTGCACTCACCGCCAATCGCTGCACTCACCGCCAGTCGCTGCACTCACCGCCAGCCGCTGCACTCACTGCCAGTCGCTGCACTCACTGCCAGTCGTTGCACTCACTGCCAGTCGCTGCACTCACCGCCAATCGATGCACTCACCGCCAATCGCTGCACTCACCGCCAGTCGCTGCACTCACCGCCAGTCGCTGCACTCACCGCCAGTCGCTGCACTCACCGCCAGTCGCTGCACTCACCGCCAGTCGCTGCACTCACCGCCAGTCGCTGCACTCAATGCCTATCGCTGCACTCACCGCCAATCGCTGCACTCACTGCCAGTCGCTGCACTCACTGCCAGTCGCTGCACTCACTGCCAATCGCTGCACTCACTGCCAGTCGCTGCACTCACCGCCAGTCGCTGCACTCACCGCCAATCGCTGCACTCACCGCCAATCGCTGCACTCACCGCCAATCGCTGCACTCACTGCCAATCGCTGCACTCACCGCCAATCGCTGCACTCACCGCCAGCCGCTGCACTCACTGCCAGTCGCTGCACTCACTGCCAGTCGTTGCACTCACTGCCAGTCGCTGCACTCACCGCCAATCGATGCACTCACCGCCAATCGCTGCACTCACCGCCAGTCGCTGCACTCACCGCCAGTCGCTGCACTCACTGCCAGTCGCTGCACTCACCGCCAGTCGCTGCACTCACCGCCAGTCGCTGCACTCACTGAAAGTCGCTGCACTCACTGCCAATCGCTGCACTCACTGCCAGTCGCTGCACTCACCGCCAGTCGCTGCACTCACCGCCAGTCGCTGCACTCACCGCCAATCGCTGCACTCACCGCCAATCGCTGCACTCACCGCCAATCGCTGCACTCACCGCCAATCGCTGCACTCACCGCCAGTCGCTGCACTCACCGCCAGTCGCTGCACTCACCGCCAGTCGCTGCACTCACCGCCAGTCGCTGCACTCACCGCCAATCGATGCACTCACCGCCAATCGCTGCACTCACCGCCAGTCGCTGCACTCACCGCCAGTCGCTGCACTCACCGCCAGTCGCTGCACTCACCGCCAGTCGCTGCACTCACCGCCAGTCGCTGCACTCACTGAAAGTCGCTGCACTCACTGCCAATCGCTGCACTCACTGCCAGTCGCTGCACTCACCGCCAGTCGCTGCACTCACCGCCAGTCGCTGCACTCACCGCCAATCGCTGCACTCACCGCCAATCGCTGCACTCACCGCCAATCGCTGCACTCACCGCCAATCGCTGCACTCACCGCCAGTCGCTGCACTCACCGCCAGTCGCTGCACTCACCGCCAGTCGCTGCACTCACCGCCAGTCGCTGCACTCACCGCCAATCGATGCACTCACCGCCAATCGCTGCACTCACCGCCAGTCGCTGCACTCACCGCCAGTCGCTGCACTCACCGCCAGTCGCTGCACTCACCGCCAGTCGCTGCACTCACCGCCAGTCGCTGCACTCACCGCCAGTCGCTGCACTCACCGCCAGTCGCTGCACTCACTGCCAGTCGTTGCACTCACTGCCAGTCGCTGCACTCACCGCCAGTCGCTGCACTCACCGCCAGTCGCTGCACTCACCGCCAATCGCTGCACTCACCGCCAGTCGCTGCACTCACTGCCAGTCGCTGCACTCAATGCCTATCGCTGCACTCACCGCCAATCGCTGCACTCACTGCCAGTCGTTGCACTCACTGCCAGTCGCTGCACTCACCGCCAGTCGCTGCACTCACCGCCAGTCGCTGCACTCACCGCCAATCGCTGCACTCACCGCCAGTCGCTGCACTCACCGCCAGCCGTTGCACTCACTGCCAGTCGCTGCACTCACTGCCAGTCGTTGCACTCACTGCCAGTCGCTGCACTCACCGCCAATCGATGCACTCACCGCCAATCGCTGCACTCACCGCCAGTCGCTGCACTCACCGCCAATCGCTGCACTCACCGCTAGTCTCTGCACTCACCGCCAGTCGCTGCACTCACTGCCAGTCGCTGCACTCACTGCCAGTCGTTGCACTCACCGCCAATCGCTGCACTCACCGCCAATCGATGCACTCACCGACAATCGCTGCACTCACCGCCAATCGCTGCACTCACCGCCAGTCGCTGCACTCACCGCCAGTCGCTGCACTCACCGCCAGTCGCTGCACTCACCGCCAGTCGCTGCACTCACTGCCAATCGCTGCACTCACTGCCAGTCGCTGCACTCACTGCCAATCGCTGCACTCACTGCCAGTCGCTGCACTCACCGCCAGTCGCTGCACTCACCGCCAGTCGCTGCACTCACTGCCAGTCGCTGCACTCAATGCCTATCGCTGCACTCACCGCCAATCGATGCACTCACCGCCAATCGCTGCACTCACCGCCAGTCGCTGCACTCACCGCCAGTCGCTGCACTCACCGCCAGTCGCTGCACTCACCGCCAGTCGCTGCACTCACCGCCAATCGCTGCACTCACCGCCAATCGCTGCACTCACCGCCAATCGCTGCACTCACCGCCAGTCGTTGCACTCACCGCCAGTCGTTGCACTCACCGCCAGTCGCTGCACTCACCGCCAGTCGCTGCACTCACCGCCAGTCGCTGCACTCACCGCCAATCGCTGCACTCACCGCCAATCGCTGCACTCACCGCCAATCGCTGCACTCACCGCCAATCGCTGCACTCACCGCCAATCGCTGCACTCACCGCCAGTCGCTGCACTCACCGCCAGTCGCTGCACTCACCGCCAGTCGCTGCACTCACCGCCAGTCGCTGCACTCACTGCCAATCGCTGCACTCACTGCCAGTCGCTGCACTCACTGCCAATCGCTGCACTCACTGCCAGTCGCTGCACTCACCGCCAGTCCGTGCACTCACCGCCAGTCGCTGCACTCACTGCCAGTCGCTGCACTCAATGCCTATCGCTGCACTCACCGCCAATCGATGCACTCACCGCCAATCGCTGCACTCACCGCCAGTCGCTGCACTCACCGCCAGTCGCTGCACTCACCGCCAGTCGCTGCACTCACCGCCAATCGCTGCAATCACCGCCAATCGCTGCACTCACCGCCAATCGCTGCACTCACCGCCAATCGCTGCACTCACCGCCAGTCGTTGCACTCACTGCCAGTCGCTGCACTCACCGCCAGTCGCTGCACTCACCGCCAGTCCCTGCACTCACCGCCAATCGCTGCACTCACCGCCAATCGCTGCACTCACCGCCAATCGCTGCACTCACCGCCAATCGCTGCACTCACCGCCAATCGCTGCACTCACCGCCAATCGCTGCACTCACCGCCAGTCGCTGCACTCACCGCGAGTCGCTGCACTCACTGCCAGTCGCTGCACTCACTCCCAATCGCTGCACTCACTGCCAGTCGTTGCACTCACTGCCAGTCGCTGCACTCACCGCCAGTCGCTGCACTCACCGCCAGTCGTTGCACTCACCGCCAGTCGCTGCACTCACCGCCAGTCGCTGCACTCACCGCCAGTCGCTGCACTCACTGCCAGTCGTTGCACTCACTGCCAGTCGCTGCACTCACCGCCAGTCGCTGCACTCACCGCCAGTCGCTGCACTCACCGCCAATCGCTGCACTCACCGCCAGTCGCTGCACTCACTGCCAGTCGCTGCACTCAATGCCTATTGCTGCACTCACCGCCAATCGCTGCACTCACTGCCAGTCGTTGCACTCACTGCCAGTCGCTGCACTCACCGCCAGTCGCTGCACTCACCGCCAGTCGCTGCACTCACCGCCAATCGCTGCACTCACCGCCAGTCGCTGCACTCACTGCCAGTCGCTGCACTCACTGCCAGTCGCTGCACTCACCGCGAGTCGCTGCACTCACTGCCTGTCGCTGCACTCACTCCCAATCGCTGCACTCACTGCCAGTCGTTGCACTCACTGCCAGTCGCTGCACTCACCGCCAGTCGCTGCACTCACCGCCAGTCGCTGCACTCACCGCCAATCGCTGCACTCACCGCCAGTCGCTGCACTCACTGCCAGTCGCTGCACTCAATGCCTATCGCTGCACTCACCGCCAATCGCTGCACTCACTGCCAGTCGCTGCACTCACTGCCAGTCACTGCACTCACTGCCAATCGCTGCACTCACTGCCAGTCGCTGCACTCACCGCCAGTCGCTGCACTCACCGCCAATCGCTGCACTCACCGCCAATCGCTGCACTCAACGCCAATCGCTGCACTCACTGCCAATCGCTGCACTCACCGCCAATCGCTGCACTCACCGCCAGTCGCTGCACTCACCGCCAGCCGCTGCACTCACTGCCAGTCGCTGCACTCACTGCCAGTCGTTGCACTCACTGCCAGTCGCTGCACTCACCGCCAATCGATGCACTCACCGCCAATCGCTGCACTCACCGCCAGTCGCTGCACTCACCGCCAGTCGCTGCACTCACCGCCAGTCGCTGCACTCACCGCCAGTCGCTGCACTCACCGCCAGTCGCTGCACTCACCGCCAGTCGCTGCACTCAATGCCTATCGCTGCACTCACCGCCAATCGCTGCACTCACTGCCAGTCGCTGCACTCACTGCCAGTCGCTGCACTCACTGCCAATCGCTGCACTCACTGCCAGTCGCTGCACTCACCGCCAGTCGCTGCACTCACCGCCAATCGCTGCACTCACCGCCAATCGCTGCACTCACCGCCAATCGCTGCACTCACTGCCAATCGCTGCACTCACCGCCAATCGCTGCACTCACCGCCAGCCGCTGCACTCACTGCCAGTCGCTGCACTCACTGCCAGTCGTTGCACTCACTGCCAGTCGCTGCACTCACCGCCAATCGATGCACTCACCGCCAATCGCTGCACTCACCGCCAGTCGCTGCACTCACCGCCAGTCGCTGCACTCACTGCCAGTCGCTGCACTCACCGCCAGTCGCTGCACTCACCGCCAGTCGCTGCACTCACTGAAAGTCGCTGCACTCACTGCCAATCGCTGCACTCACTGCCAGTCGCTGCACTCACCGCCAGTCGCTGCACTCACCGCCAGTCGCTGCACTCACCGCCAATCGCTGCACTCACCGCCAATCGCTGCACTCACCGCCAATCGCTGCACTCACCGCCAATCGCTGCACTCACCGCCAGTCGCTGCACTCACCGCCAGTCGCTGCACTCACCGCCAGTCGCTGCACTCACCGCCAGTCGCTGCACTCACCGCCAATCGATGCACTCACCGCCAATCGCTGCACTCACCGCCAGTCGCTGCACTCACCGCCAGTCGCTGCACTCACCGCCAGTCGCTGCACTCACCGCCAGTCGCTGCACTCACCGCCAGTCGCTGCACTCACTGAAAGTCGCTGCACTCACTGCCAATCGCTGCACTCACTGCCAGTCGCTGCACTCACCGCCAGTCGCTGCACTCACCGCCAGTCGCTGCACTCACCGCCAATCGCTGCACTCACCGCCAATCGCTGCACTCACCGCCAATCGCTGCACTCACCGCCAATCGCTGCACTCACCGCCAGTCGCTGCACTCACCGCCAGTCGCTGCACTCACCGCCAGTCGCTGCACTCACCGCCAGTCGCTGCACTCACCGCCAATCGATGCACTCACCGCCAATCGCTGCACTCACCGCCAGTCGCTGCACTCACCGCCAGTCGCTGCACTCACCGCCAGTCGCTGCACTCACCGCCAGTCGCTGCACTCACCGCCAGTCGCTGCACTCACCGCCAGTCGCTGCACTCACCGCCAGTCGCTGCACTCACTGCCAGTCGTTGCACTCACTGCCAGTCGCTGCACTCACCGCCAGTCGCTGCACTCACCGCCAGTCGCTGCACTCACCGCCAATCGCTGCACTCACCGCCAGTCGCTGCACTCACTGCCAGTCGCTGCACTCAATGCCTATCGCTGCACTCACCGCCAATCGCTGCACTCACTGCCAGTCGTTGCACTCACTGCCAGTCGCTGCACTCACCGCCAGTCGCTGCACTCACCGCCAGTCGCTGCACTCACCGCCAATCGCTGCACTCACCGCCAGTCGCTGCACTCACCGCCAGCCGTTGCACTCACTGCCAGTCGCTGCACTCACTGCCAGTCGTTGCACTCACTGCCAGTCGCTGCACTCACCGCCAATCGATGCACTCACCGCCAATCGCTGCACTCACCGCCAGTCGCTGCACTCACCGCCAGTCGCTGCACTCACCGCCAGTCGCTGCACTCACCGCCAGTCGCTGCACTCACTGCCAGTCGCTGCACTCACTGCCAGTCGCTGCACTCACCGCCAATCGCTGCACTCACTGCCAGTCGCTGCACTCACCGCCAGTCGCTGCACTCACCGCCAGTCGCTGCACTCACCGCCAGTCGCTGCACTCACCGCCAGTCGCTGCACTCACCGCCAATCGCTGCACTCACCGCCAATCGCTGCACTCACCGCCAATCGCTGCACTCACCGCCAATCGCTGCACTCACCGCCAATCGCTGCACTCACCGCCAGTCGCTGCACTCACCGCCAGTCGCTGCACTCACCGCCAGTCGCTGCACTCACCGCCAGTCGCTGCACTCACCGCCAGTCGCTGCACTCACCGCGAGTCGCTGCACTCACTGCCAGTCGCTGCACTCACTCCCAATCGCTGCACTCACTGCCAGTCGTTGCACTCACTGCCAGTCGCTGCACTCACCGCCAGTCGCTGCACTCACCGCCAATCGCTGCACTCACCGCCAGTCGCTGCACTCACTGCCAGTCGCTGCACTCAATGCCTATCGCTGCACTCACCGCCAATCGCTGCACTCACTGCCAGTCGCTGCACTCACTGCCAGTCGCTGCACTCACTGCCAATCGCTGCACTCACTGCCAGTCGCTGCATCACCGCCAGTCGCTGCACTCACCGCCAATCGCTGCACTCACCGCCAATCGCTGCACTCACCGCCAATCGCTGCACTCACTGCCAATCGCTGCACTCACCGCCAATCGCTGCACTCACCGCCAGTCGCTGCACTCACCGCCAGTCGCTGCACTCACTGCCAGTCGCTGCACTCACTGCCAGTCGTTGCACTCACTGCCAGTCGCTGCACTCACCGCCAATCGATGCACTCACCGCCAATCGCTGCACTCACCGCCAGTCGCTGCACTCACCGCCAGTCGCTGCACTCACTGCCAGTCGCTGCACTCACTGCCAGTCGCTGCACTCACTGCCAATCCCTGCACTCACCGCCAATCGCTGCACGAGGGCGTCTCTCTCCCGCTCCCGCTGCACCAACATCTCTGGATCCATCCCCACCGCACTCCCCCCGTCCCCGCTCCCCCTTCCCCCCGCCTCCACGAGCTCGCGGATCTGGCGCTGCAGCACGCTGACGTGGCATGCCAGCTGGCCCTCCTTGTGGCGGAGCGCCGCCACGTGGTGGGCGGCCTCCTCCGGTGGCATCTGCAGCAGCTGCTGCGACCTCCTCTCCACCGATACCGCCTGGGGCGATGGGGGCGCATGGGAGGGCGGGAGGGGGAAAAGGGGTGTGAGAGGAGGTGAGGAGCGAGGTCCGGAAGGGGCGAGCGAGGAGCCACTCTGACTCTCCCACCCAAACAGCAGCAACGAAGTCAGCCAGGAAGATTTGCGGTGTGGACTTGTGTGTCACGAGTCATCTTGAAGCTCTTTTCATACGACCCAATCCCATCACCACACCCCCCCCCTCCTCTCCACCTGAGCAGCGGGGGTGGCGGCCTCGGCACCAACGCGCGCGACATCCGGCCGGTAGGTGCGCATCTCGCCGTCCAGGAAGCCCTTGGAGAGCACACGCGACAGCAGCTCGTCCACTGCCGCGTTGGACGGCGCACACACCAGCATGCGCGGCTTGCGTGCCACGCGCACCTGCCGCCGCGGGGCCAGCTGATCCATGCTCTCCAGCAGATCCTCTATGCTGCCCCCTCCCGAAACTACCGCCTCCGCTGAACCGGCACCTTCCGAGCCGGCACCTGCCGACGGTGGGTCGTCGGGTAGGAAAGTGGCGGAGGCGGCGGGGGCGAGCTTGGCGAGGAGCGAGTGGTAGTAGCGCTGGTAGTGCACGAGGTGGATGGCGTTGAGCATGCCCCACACCGTATGCGTCTTCCCCGTCCCCGGCGGCCCCTGCACCAGCGTGAACGGCCACCCGCCCTTGCTGCTGCCCCCCGCACCTCCCGACCCCGACCGGCTGGAGGCAGCAGTGCCGGCTGCACTGGCAGGCGCAGCGGGCGTGTGGGCGGCGGTGTGGGCGGCGGCCCAGTGGATGGCCTGCAGCTGCGGCGCGTTGAAGGAGGCCTGCAGGTGCGCACAGAAGGCGGGCGGGAAGACGGCGGAGAGGTCCGGCGGCATCTCGGTGACGTAGTCTGGGAAGAGGTGCGGGCCCGGGCGCAGCACGGCCTCCAGCATCTGACGGGGGGGAGGGGAAGGGGGGGTTGGAGGGAAGGATGGATGGAGGGAGGCGGCAGCTGGCTGACATAGTTGGGGAAGAGATGTGGGCCTGCCTTTCAACTCTGCTGGTGATGTGGCTGAAAGGCCTGGATGCAGCACCGCCTCTAGCATCTGAAGAAGGGGGGGGATGGTTGAGGGCAGGAGGGAGGGACAGGGGAACCAAGGACAATGAAGGCGAAATTATTCGGTCAATGGTGTGGGGAGGAGGGCTGAGAACAAGACCATGCGGTGGGCAGTGCGCATGGCAGTGGGTTTGATGAAACACATGAAGTGGAAGTGGGAGGAAGGAAGATGTGTGGAGGAGTAGAAATCAAAATCGAGAACAGAGTGCATGCAGGCAATGAGTCGATCCGAGATGACGAACTATCGCAACACGAGGTGCGTATGCCTGCAGATGCACACACCTGGGGCTACACATGCGCCACCTCACCTCACCTCACCGCACCTCACCGCACCTCACCTCACCGCACCTCACCTCACCTGGGGCTGCAGGTGCGCCACGGAGTGCAGGGAGGAGAACTCCCTCTGCGCCGTCGTCAGCGAGGTCACTGGCATGAAGGTGCACGGAAGGTTCCTGCTCTTGACCTCATTGAGGAGAGACACAGGCTCGCTGACAGGGGGAGGCGCAAGGGGTGTGGGGAGAGGCATGCATGGGGCAAGGGAATGTGAAAAGGTATGATGGCGGCAGGACAGCACATGCGGGGGCCAGGGCTACATACTCGGGCGGCAGGGCTACATACTCGGGCGGCAGGGCTACATACTCGGGCGGCAGGGCGACATACTCGGGCGGCAGGGCGGACTCGTGGAAGGTAAAAATGAAGGTGGCCCGGGCGGCACCGCGGTCGTCCTGCATGGGCTCGTAGCAGCGCCGCCCGATGCCAGCTATGCGCAGCTGCTGGGGTGGCTGTAGTGGTGATGAGCGTGATTGGTCTGCATGGCGGAGTGAGTGGCGGGCAGAGTGGAGAGGATGAAGGCTTGTGAGGGGCGCAGAGAGGAAGGGAAGGGAGTCATGTCAAGAACAGCAACGAGAGGACGAGCATGGGCATGTGCATGGGCATGTAATTGGGCATGGGCATGAGACTATGGGCATGGGAGTATGGGCATGGGAGTATGGGCATGGGAGTATGGGCATGGGAGTATGGGCATGGGAGTATGGGCATGGGAGTATGGGCATGGGAGTATGGGCATGGGAGTATGGGCATGGGAGTATGGGCATGGGAGTATGGGCATGGGAGCATGGGCATGGGAGTATGGGCATGGGAGTATGGGCATGGATGGGAGTACGGGCATGGGAGTATGGGCATGGGAGTATGGGCATGGGAGTATGGCCATGGATGGGATTATGGGCATGGGAGTATGGCCATGGATGGGAGTATGGGCATGAGCCGTCATCACTCCCACCATCATCTCTGGCTGCTGGCCGTGCAGTGGACAGCACAGCCACGTCACCATCCTTCCACTCGCCCTCCTTCCACCCCGCCCGCCGCCCCCCCTGCTGCTGCTGCTGCTCGCCGAGCAGCTGTAGCAGCATCTCGTGCCAGCCTGGGGTGGGGAGGGTGGTGGCGCCGCAACGTGTGCTTTGAGCGGCTCAGGACTCAACTCAAGGCGGGAAGAAAGGTGGTGCACGTGGTGGCGCGCGGTGGGAGGTGGTGTGAACAGCAAAGCGCACTGAGAGGCGAAAGGAAAGAGGCAAGAGCAGAGGGTGAGGGTGTGTGCAAGGCGAGGCGAGTGGAGCAGCAGGGGGGCAGAGGAAGGGGGGAGGGGACGGGAGTCACCTCGGTGGGTGGCCTCCAGCGACGCCACGCGCACTGCCACGCCCGCGCTGCTTCCCCCTGCGCGCCCGCCGCCCCCCTCGCCGCCGTCCACCTCCTCCCAGCTGCTCGCCACCTGGGCGCGCGCCTCCTCAAACAGCAGCGGCTCAAACGCCCCCACATACTCCTCCACCGATCCAAACCGCTCTGGTAGCTTCAGCGGAGGCGTGGCGGGCTGTGTGGCGTCTGCGTCCGCCGCCCCTGCTGCTGCTGACGTGGCGCCAGCTGTCCCCCCCGCGCCCCACAGCCTGTAGCTCGTCGCCTCGCGCTGCAGCCGCTCCAGCGACGCGTCACCCGCCCACCCCCTTGCTGCCGCGCTGCCCCCGCCCATCCCGGAACCGCCCCGCGCACCCGCTACCCCCGCTCTCCGCGCGTCCTCGCTCGCCCCCTTCCTTCCGCCTACCCCTCTTCCGTTCCCCCTACCCCCCACGCCCGTCGGTGGCCCGCTCCTCGCGCGCGTCTCCGCGCTCAGCGCCGCCTGTCGCGGCCATTCCCCTCGCTCAAGCCCACCCGCTTCGCCCGTGGGGCCTCCCCCGTCCACGGAGACCTCCGCGGCTGGCGGCGAGCTCAGATTCGCATTCCGCTCGCCGCCACTCGCACGGCCGAGAGAACGACCCGCGGAAGTCCCTCCGCGGCCGATTCCGCCACTGCCGGCTTCCCCCGTGCGGCTGGCCTGGCGGAGCGACTCGCCCACCTCCAGCATCACCGTCTTCCGCGAGGGCTCCGCGCGATAGCGCTTGCCCGCCGACATGGCGGGCGAGACGGATGGCTGGGTTTGGTGGGCGGAGGTGAGCAAGTCAAGGTAGATCCGCGCCTAGTAGATGTTGGGAGAGAACTAGTCGAAAGCAGCCAGAATACGACAAACACAAATGTATGGACTGACAGCGCGTATTCTTATATGGGATGGTGTTTTGCGACATGCAGGTCCAAATGTTCAATTCATGATTTTTCAAACAAAAAGACTGTTTCAGTAAATTAATAAAATAATGTTTGGGTTGAGTGGACGTGGATGTCAATTCATATCGGTGATGCAACCGGTGAAAGATTTCTTTGCCTAATTCCTTACTAGGTCACTCCATGCGCGTACAACTCGACGTTTGGAAGACCAGGCTCAGTCCAATGCCCTCGTCTCCAAGACGTACCCCGCGTCGCCTTCGGCAGGGCCCAAAATTGAAGGGTAAAATGCCCTGATTGCCCTTACTATGGGCCGATTTTCAGAGATTGCCCTGATTTTGTAAGTGTGTTCTTCGTACTCCCCTTTCTTCAAAAGTGTACTTTTTTTTTACCCTTCGAATCAGTACTTCAAAGCATTCATCCTGTATAGAAAAGGTGCCGTGCAAAACACCCTTACACCGGACCACTAGTACCGCGAGTCTGCTGGATATCTATCCTCCGATACGAGGATTTGATCCCTAGACCTAACCATACTTACCAGCTGAGCCACAACTGCATGTGTAATTAGCTCATCAAACATGATTAGACGTTTTTTCAGGGCACCAAAGATTTTACCCTGCCACAGACAGACTAAATGATCATCTACCCTGAATTTGTTCGGGTATTTTGTTTCTTACCTTAGCAGTTAGGGTAGGCCCGGTTCGGACCCTGATTTCCCAGGGTGGCCAAAAACCAATTTTGGGCCTTGGCCTTCGGGCTTTGGCAACCCTGAACCAGCACCCAACCATCGTAACCCCACGTAGCCCACCTAACTAGACTTTTGGTTCTATCTGTGCGAGGTTTCATTATTCATTCATTAGTTGTAATCACTTCTACGAGAATGCATTCTATACACTCTTCTATCACAACTCAGAATACTTGGCATCGGAACTACATTCCTATGCTACCCTCGTGATAGACTTGGCGGGCTGCAAAGCGGTCGATCTCTGAAACAGATACCGTATTTAACCGGCTAAGAAACCCCCCCAAAATTATAGACCCCCAGGTCGTTAAATGGGGGGGGGGTCTAATGCTATCTCCACTTCCGTATTAGACCCCCCTTTTTGGATTGCATTCAGGATTAAACCCTCCCCCCCCTCCCCCCTCCCCTTCCCCCCCATTTGTGGTTTGGTTTGGGGAACTTCTTGTTTGTTGCAAATTACCATACAATAATTACCTAGCAAACACTTTCCCCAGCTCTCATCTCCCCAGTTATGAAGAGGGTTCTAGGGGGATACGGTACTCAGGATACTGCACTGCTTCCTACTCATAATAAGGGACTGCTACCTACTCAAGTTAATGGACTGCCCCTATGAGGGCTTGTTCTACACGCCCTCGATAAAAGGGGCGTATGCGGTAGGGTCTGTGAGAATAAGCGAACAGGAATGAATGAACTAGCAGTGAAATGAGTACAAGTAGGAAACCCTAGAATTGTGTACCCCCTATAGGCTAACCCACTGTAGCCTACACAAGCAGAACATATCTAATGTTTGACACACCCCCATAGGCAAAGTGGGGGAGAACAAGGGGTCACAAGACCAGTCAAGCAAAGCAAAGCAAGCTCAGGGTGGATCACAAAGTCACCACACAGTCCGAGCACAAGAGCAGGGCCAGAGGCCAGTTCACATGCAGGAGTACAGACATATATATAAAACTAGACAAGCAAGAGCAGGTATATATATATGTCACAGTACAAGTGAAGTCAAGAGGAGAGCAAGTGAGGCAAGACAGGCACAAGACCCAGCTGGGTGCAAAAGCGCTGATGGTCACAAGGCGCGAGTGCCTTGGTGAACACATCAGCAGTGTTGGCCTCAGAGGCCACGTACGCAAGTCGCAACTGACCACGCTGCTGCAGCTCACGAGCAAGGAAGTAGCGGAGAGCAATGTGCTTCGTTCTGTGCTCCAAGCGCTGCTCTCGACACAAGGCCAGCATGGCCTTGTTGTCTACGTACAGCACTGGAGGAGAACGAGGCGGCTCTCCAAGGTCAGTCAGCAGGTAGGTGAGCCAGCGAAGCTCCTGTGCAGCCATGGCCCCGGCGTAGATCTCAGCCTCACAACTGGAGCCGAGAACCGAAGACGAGCGAGTAGACCGCCACGAGACAGAGCCGGAACCAAGGCTGAAGGTGTAACCCTGTGACGACCGCTGCGTAGCCTGGTCGTCAGCCCAAGAAGCGTCCGCGTGGCCGGTAAGGACCACTGGACTCCGCCCTCCAAGCACAAGCCCCATGCCCGACGTACTGCACAGGTAGCGCAATACCCTCTTCGCTGCAGCCATGTGCTCTGGTCTGTGTCTCCCAGGAGCAACATAGCGTGCAAGAATGCTCAGAGGGTATGCAAGGTCAGGTCGTGTGCAGGTCATCAGGTACATGAGGCAGCCAACAAGCTCTGCATACGGACCACTCGACTCTACGGACTCATCCGAAGGCAGAGCTGAGAGTGAGTGGCGAGTAGGCAGAGGAGTGGCCTGAGGCGAGGAGTACGTGAAGCCGAAGCGCTGAAGGACCTGCTGCACCATGTGTGACTGAGTCAAGGTAATGGTGCGGCGTGCTCTGTCCCGAGTGATCTGCAAGCCAAGGTAGCTGCGCAGTTCACCCAGGTCTGTGCACGTGTGTCTCTTCAGCAGTTCGGACTTCACGTAGGCGAGTCCAGCAGTGTCCGCTGTGGCAAAGACCAAGTCGTCGACGTACACGAGGATGTAGAACGGCGACAGTGAAGTGTCGGTGCGCAGAAACAGCGACGGGTCAGCAGTAGAAGGAGCAAACCCAAGTGCCGCCAGCGTAGTCCTCAGTGTGTCGTGCCACTCACGCGGTGCCTGGCGGAGACCGTAGACTGGCCGTCGGAGGCTCCACTGGGTGCCAGGAGGGAAAGTCCCAGTGAAGCCAGGTGGACGGCGCAGCCAGATCTCCTCGTGCAGGCTACCCTGCAGGAACGCAGTGCTGAAGTCGAGAGAGTGAAGCTCGTAGTCGCGCTGAGCGGCTATGTGCAGCAGCACCCGAAGAGTGGTCATCTTCGGGGTGGGAGAGAAGGTCTGAAAGTAGTCAACTCCCTGCCGCTGACTGAAGCCACGAGCAACGTACCGCGCTTTGAAGACAGGTGGAGAGCCCGGCGGCCGCTTCACCCGGAAGATCCACATGCCACTGACGATGTTCGCCCCAGGAGGGGGAACTGCGTCAACGTAGGTGCCTGTGGACTTCCAGGAAGCCATCTCTGCATCCATAGCTGCCTGCCACTGAGAGGAGTAGGGACCCTCTACGGCCTCCGCGTAAGAACGCGGAGTCGGGATGTCTAGTGCATCCGGGTCTCCCTCAGGGGCAAGCAGTACAGACGCGAGATGAGGTGAAGCAGCCGCTAGACACTGTAACTCCTCCTGTCTGTCCTCTAGGACGTCCGTGCCAAGAGCACACTCACCCCCGACGGACGGAGGACAGACAGACGCAGACTCAGCAACAAGACCAGCAGCGTAGTCGAGACGACAGCGAGCAGCAAAGTCAACGAGCTCAGCGACTAGAGCAGACGCAGCAGTGGACTCAAAAGAGGGGTCAGTGACGACAGTAGCAAGCAGACGCGTGACAGTAGGACTGGCAGCGCGAAGAGAGTCCGACTCAGGGTCGGCAAGCGCAGGAAGAGAGGACTCAGGAGGAGAAGGCAAAGGGGCACGCAGAGGAGCAGTGGACGGACGCAGAGACATCCGGTGCGTGCCAGGGACAGGAGGAGGACGCTGACGCGAACCGCGACCACTAGCGCGAGTAGCACGAACAGGCGACGCGGGACGAGACGCAGGCTCACGACGCTCAGCAAGACCTCCAGTAGGACCAGTGTAAGGAGAGGGAGCAGGCAGAGGAGAGGAAGGCTCCAACAATGACTGCGACTGGACAGGCTGTGGACACTCTACCGAAGGAGAAAGACCAAGAACCTGCTGTAGGAGCGGAACGAAGTACGGCCGAGGCCGCGTGGCAGCTCCAGACTCAGCAGGGACAGCACCAGCACCCTCAGCGACAGCACCAGCGCCACCAACACCTCCAGCGGCAGGACCTCCAGCAGCACCAGCAGCAGAACCACCGCCAGGACAGACAGCAGTAGTCTCAGCACCAACACCCTCAGCAGCTCCAGCTCCAGTAGGACCCGTAGGCCCAGCAGCTCCGGGACCGGCAGCACCAGCACCCTCGACGGTCGACGAAGCTCCAGCTCCAGCAGCACTCCTCCAGCGGCGAGCAAACCACTCACGCAGCTCCTGGGGAGAGAGGGGCTCCCGGCGAGACGCAGCAGCAGGAGAAACCCCAGGCTCAGCAGCTCCAGACTCAGCACCCCCAGGCACAGCCGCTCCAGACTCAGCACCTCCAGGCTCAGCAGCTCCAGACTCAGCACCCCCAGACTCATTAGCTCCAGCTCCAGTAGGACCCGCAGGCCCAGCAGCTCCGGGACCGGCAGCACCCTCAGCAGGCGAAGAAGCTCCAGCTCCAGCAGCACGCCTCCAGCGGCGAGCAAACCACTCGCGCAGCTCCTGTGGAGAGAGCGGCTCCCGCCGAGACGGAAGAACCGGAGAGCCCCCAGGTCCAGCAGGCGCAGGCTCTGCACCTCCAGGCCCAGCACCCCCAGGCTCAGCAGCTCCTGACGTAGCACCCTCCGGCTCAGCACCCCCCGGCTCAGCACCCCCAGACTCAGCACCCCCCGGCCTCGCACCCCCAGGCTCAGCACCCCCAGGCTCAGCACCCCCAGCAGCAGCACCCCCAGGCTCAGCACCCACAGCAGGACCAGACTCAGCAGCAACCTCGACTGGCTCGACCGTGTCTACCTGGGACACACCTGAAGGGGCAGGAA